TCCACTACCCACGGGTGTATACTGCACTTGAGTCTGGGGACTCTGGGGCAGGATCACTGTGCAAAATCGCATTCAGGACAAATTCACATGAGCAGTTGGATGTTTGCATACCTTCTGTATAATATCTAAAACAACAGATGACAAGAGCTTAGAAACTGTTTGCTGAGCAGTAAAGAGAAACATGAGTCATACATAAAATCAGTGTCACCCATCTGAGTGTGAACCTTTGCAAAGGAACATGCAGTAACATACAGCTTTGTCAATGTAGATCTCAATAACTTCCAAGAACTGAACTGAAACCTACTAGAATATAAACTGACTCCCAGTCCAGAGGAACCACTGCAGTGTAATGCGCCAAAACAAATGTGTAATGTGCCAAAACAAATAAAGTGCAGCAGAAATACAATAGATAATAATTGCTTTTGAGACTACTTTTCAACAGAGCTACATCACGATGAATTTTCATGACAATACATTGCTAGAAGTTGTGTCCTGTTCTAAATGAGAAAACACAACTTGGCTGCTTACCAAGCTTATGCTGAGTACGATGATGAAAGGGGCTCTGACCTCCCTGGCAGATCCTGAGTACATTTCTGCCACTTAATGTTGACCAGTCAACCCATGGAGGTTTCTGTGCTGCTGGTCTGCTGAATAGATTTCCCTTGAGTGCTTCAGAGCTATATAGCAGAACACTCAGGAAAGATGATCCCTTTCTTATTTTATAGGAAGATATAATACAAATAATAAGCTAATAATAAACGGAATTTTAATGGTCTCTAGATAACAAATGTATGCCATTCCCTTCTTTCTGAACTGATGATGGGTTTTGTTTAAACCTCCAGGTGGCCGTCCTATATGTTGTTTACTTATTCCAACTCCACAAGAGCACTACCTTCAAGGGAATGCGAAAAAATGCAACCTCAATGCATGCCACAGACATTTTACATAGCAAGCAGGACAGCACACATCAAAGGATTTACTGTGAAATCATCTTGCAATCAGCATAGGATTGATCTCCATAGACCACTCTTGACAGCAAGCATGTACTTCATGAGCAGTTACATGCCAGTTTTTAAAACCAAGGAACAAAATTGTATATTGGGACTGTTTTTCAGCCTGTTTGCTACGTTTTTTGCATTCTGTCCCATGCTGGTTTTACAGATCTTAGAGTAAAAAATGCAAATGAACAACCTGGATACTCTGACAGAAGAAAAATCCTAGGTATAGAATATCATCTGTGTTCCAGCCACCAAATACTACAAAAAAAAAACCGTGTTTACAAATCAGTTCTTTTTTATTTTAAATCTTTCTGAGGGGAGTTATGTTATTTACCATATATATAATATATATAAAGTATATAGAGAGATTGTTTATTTGTAAATAGAAAAATCCTATGGAAAAGAATGTCAAGTTTTCACACTTAAAAAAAAAAAATCATCAGCATAAAGCCATGTTTAATGCTTGTATAATGTGACGCAATAAACTTTAAAATAAATTATGCATATGAAATATTTGCTGCTTGGCATTCGTAAGTTATTTTCTGTTTACCTTATTTGTTCAGCAGCCAAAGAGGCCAGTCAGGTGAAAGCAAATTTAAACGTAGACCAAAGTCTTGTCACTACTGTCTCTCTGTAGATTCTTTGTGCATTCTTGTAGTCCAACATTGTTCCTGTTGTGGTTTTAGTTCTTTTTTTAATGTTCCTACTATTTTTCTCTCTTGATCCTGCCAGATGCAGCATGTTATTTGGACAGCATGGGGTGCTCCCACTCCCATGGAATTTGTCAATTTTGAGCATCCTGTATTTCTTTGTTGGGTGAGCTTTTAGCTGGGAGGGACGAAGGATTAGGGTGCAGGAGTGTGATGGAGACACCAAGAACTATCTTGCTGCTCTTACACAAACAAGGCCCTACCTGACAGTCCAGCTAGCAGAGGACAGTGTATGATCTCAGGGAAAATCTTATTCAAAATTAATTAATTGCTTTAATTACTGATTCCAATTAGAACAATAAGCATTTAGAAAAAAGTGAAGCAGAAAGAGTCACTTTCTGTGAGAGCTGTGCAGCAATCATGGGAGGTTAGTTAGCAAGAAACGGGGTATTTACTGGCATCATCTGCAAAGCTTAAGAACACTTGCCTCTAAAGTGCTTACAGCAGATACTCTCCCCAGTGAGATTGTCATGATTGTGTCCCAATAGATATCACTTCACCCAAACTTTCACTTGATATCAAAATTAGAGTTCAGTGACTGTTCAGTGCTCAAATAGTGACTTCAAGCAATAAGTTGAAGACAAGTTGGTCATTTACATGTTTTCTCTGTTTTAAACAATTATGTGAATTCAAAGCACTGAGAAAAAAAAAAAACATCAGTGGTCCTACATTTTTTAACTACGATAACTGGGAAGATGAGTCTTCACTCCACGAACAAAACAGGTAGAAGTCACAGATCATCCCAGACAGTTTAAGGCAGTATCCATTACAGCACACAGTGATCTCAGCACAGAGTGGTGCCGCAAAGGCCACAATGATGCTGCTTAACACAGCAGTGATCAGTCACTCTCCTGAGAGGAATATTCAGATGAGAGTTTGTCATTTGTGTTGGGAGGACTGTAGCCATACCAGCAGGCAAGTGCTTGTTACAGGCTTCTGTTCTCTCTGTCCACAGCTTACTCTGTGCCATAAAGCACAGGTACAGAGGGGCACACCAGTCCTCTTCATTTCAGCACTCTGCAGCAGTGTGGAGATACCAGTACTTACCCTTTTTCAGGTTTGCGGACTGAAAGTACCTGGTAAGTACAAATTACTATATTCCAAGGCTCAAGAATTGTTCTTTTGCACAAAATGCAGTATCTATTTCTGTGTCATGAAGACAAGGCACAAGGCTGAACGAGCTGCACTTATCTTCTGAGACTTGAGAAGCATAGCCAGCTCATTCAGACAGTGGACTAGCTGTCTCAGAGTGACTAGAATAGTCCCAGAACAGAGATACCTGTCCTAGAAGACTTTATTCAGGATGCTATTGTTTGTCTCAGATTTTAGATATAGGAACACAAGACACAATTCATGGGATCTCTCCGGCTCACTCACAGCCCTTCCACACAGTGTTTTCAGCACTTAGCTAGTTACAGAGCTGCAGCAGAGGAATGGGAGATAAGGGTCTGGACCGTGCAAGCCAGTGCATCAGGAGGCAAAGGGGAAACCTGCCTCTGTTACGTAGTTTTGCACTGAGTTAGCTGATGGAGGTATGCCCCCGGTGGGAACCCCATACAGTATCTTGTGGAGACAGTGTTCTCACAGGAGAATGGATAATTGGTACATGAACTCTGAATAATCCTGAAAGATACAGCAAGGCCATGAGAGGCCCGAGGAAGCTTAAGCAAGCAAGATAAGAAGAAGCTGGAATTCACCGAGTTATGAGAACTGTGGACTGTTGGCAAGCTTTCGAGGTCAAGTTCTCACACCTGTGCCTAACCAATTATATGTTAGCTGCTAAGGGTCTTCAAGACATGTATCCAATCATAATATGCCAAATCACTGTAAGTGTATGTAAGCAACAGAATATAAGGAGTTAAGGCTTTGCAATAAATGGCTTTTGTCTGATCATATTGATCTCTGACTGAGACCACATATTTTTTCTGTGGCAGTGCCTGGCCTGTACTCCTCTAGCACAGGTTTGCTCCTTGGACCAGATTTTTAATCCCTAATGTTTTCTGATACTGTCAGTTCATTTTACGCAGTAGATCACCAAATGCCCTCTGTCACAGGGGCACAAAATAAATTGATTTAGATGCTAAAGGGTTCCAGTCAAGATAGATAAGCTAGAATTGTGTCGTATTCCAAGTTAAAGCAGCTCAGCACCTGGCAAAAGCAGCATAACTTTTAGAAAGCATTTAAGACATGCAGTCAGTTTTTCATTTGATTCAAAACATGACTGCTTTATAAGCTTCACAGCTTAACTTTACTGCAATAGCTTTTATTTCCCAACTTGATACTGCTGTAAGAGTTTTAAACTCCCATGTATAGCCATAGCAAAAAGTCTGCAGTAGAAAAACACCACAGTGGGTCAGCATCTGTTCCCTACCTTACCAGAAGGCATATGGGGGGTGTGAAGCAGCTGGGGGTTTTCATCCTCCAAAACCACCAGTACCATGGTCTGGAGTGGATGTGCCGTTCAGCTTCTCTTGGCAGCCTAGCCAGAGGATAAGTCATCCCATGCCTTGCAGCCCTGAAGAAGCCTTCACCAAATAACATCCTCTGCAATGCCTTCCGTTTCCTGGGGTATTGCACAGTGAACTCTGCCTGCCTGCTAAAACATACAATGTACTCTAGCCTGATCTGGGCCAAACTTGAACGTGAATCCCCAGAGAGACAACAGGGACTGCATGAATACAAATGGCTACATGAAGTTTCAGCTCACAGCTCCACAGACAACAGCAGTGGTAACTGCAGATGCAGTCTTCCCGTAGAGCAAAGAGGGCCATGTTCCTGCATTAACATCTCTGCTGCACTATGCCCAAGCCCAGTGAAAGACCAGTCCTAGGCCAGAATGCTGAGCAAGAAGTGGAAGACTACTGGGGTTCTGCTGTATGGCACTGAACAAAAAGCCCGAATAGCTCTTTTCCTTTGTGAGAACCAGCTCTGTAAGGGTAAGACAGGGCAGATGAGGGAGATGGGGAATGAAGGGAAGTATGTCACTGAGTTTTGCCTCTACCCATCACTAGAGACACTCTTGTAGCTTCCAGCAGTGAACACAGACGAGATGCTAGAAACCAGGGAAGAAATAGCTTCATAAAACCAAACATACACAAAAAAAAACCAGCAAAATAAATACACTCTCAGTTCTACAAATGAATCAGATGGCATTATATGCACCTCCTGTATTAAAAAAGCCCCACTGTTTCTTGCAACCTGTTAAGGACCTGCAGCCCTAATGTCTTTGTACTTGCAATGTCTTAAAAGAAAAAAAAGTCAAAAAAAAAAAGAAACCAGAAAACCAGCTATGTCTGGGGGAACAGTGCTCTTACCAAATAAAAAAATTACTCTGAGAGTGAACTGAGATAAAATGCAGATATTTTCCAGGAAGCTCAAGAGTATCAGGTAAATACTTCACATATAAACATTGCCTTCAGCCCTGTCACCAAGATCCAGAGTGAGAAAGAGAGGGTGAGGATGTGCAAGAAAGACCTGATTCCTTTCTTGACTAATATCAAGGGCATGCAAGGGTGACAGTGCAACAAAGCTCAGCAGACGGCTGCCCATTACCCCTGCAGGGCTGGTAACTGACCTGGCACAGGACTGTCAATAGTGCCTTACATGAACAAAACTGTCCTGGAGGGCTGACATGGCCCCACGTCATATATGAAGGCCATTGACTTTGTTCTTATTGCTTGCAAAGTCCATTTCAATGTGGCTGAAAGCAGGGTTGTCAGTTCCTTCAGCTGCCATGGTAAACGGTTTCCAGTTCAACACTTCCACTTTCTGTGGCTAAAAAACAAAAGACAAAAGCCGTGCTGTGACGTGGAAGAAACAGTCTTCCTCTCTTTAACCTGCATACAAGCAGAGTCAGGCCTGGCATACAGGATGCCTTGCAGGGAAGTACATGTTGATTGCTGACAGAGCATAAATAGTTATTCATTGGAGTAGCTGGTATTTTTCTAGGGGCATGGAAAGTTTCTTATTGCGTAAGGTATGAGTTGCATGAAATGTTCTCGTCAAGTAAAAAGTTCTTGTCCTGAAAATTGTCTAAAGTGGTTTTGGTTGTGCAAAGTTCTAATTGCTGCTTTCATGTCTAGAGACCTGCCACCACAAGGTCCTTGAGCTATTGACTCCCAGTCCCTGGTACTTGCCCCATCTTTGACTTGAAAAGCAGATTAACACGCGTCATTGCTTTCATGTTTCATCTCTATTAAACATAATGAGATGTTGAACTTTTTATGTGCAGGAAGTTTCTCAATTCTACCTGATTATTTTTTCCTCACCAACTTTCTGCATTATTTGTGATGCCAACCGCTAGCTCCTAGCTGTAGAGCCATGCAGACACTTGTTTCTGAATCCAGGCATAAAATAGTATGGCTGTGGACATTAGTTTCCATGTGCGTGGATTTGTTTCGGTTTAGTTTTGGTTAGTTGGTTGGCTTGGTACTGGTGTTTTGGTTTTTGCTTGTTTTGGGGGCTTGGGGTTTTGTTTGTTTCTTTTTCAGGGTTTAAATTCCCAGGCAGTAAAAACAGATGTTGGCCTATTAAAAGCAGTGAGTGACAATAACTGGATAGCTGCTCGCTAGTCCTGACACGGACAAACAGCATTACAATAGCACTGTAAAAATCTCTTTCTCTCCCTCGTGTTCACAGTGAGAAGCTGAAATACATGAGATCATACTAAAAGGAGTTGTCATCATGGAGAAAAAACATTTTGCAAACTGAACCATCTCAAAGACAAGATCATTGACTGTACTGCAGCACTTGAAAAGCACTGAACAAAGCTGAGTTTCAGCATCCTGATGATACTAACTGAAAAGTGACCTATAGTTTATTTAAAACAAACAAATTTCCCCTACATTTTCTCTTTGAAGGCTTGTTATTACCTAATGTCTCTCCTTTTCTTATATCTTAGGGAGGGAGCTAGGAAACAGATATGCTGACTAGAAATGTTTTCTCTCAAACAGCAGCAAAAGTTGCAAAAAGAATCCAGATTTTAGAGAACACATGTTTACAAACAAAGAAAGCTTTGCTGAGCCTAAAGTGTGCCTTGAGCCAGCTTCCAAAAGACTAGTGAGGGAGTATTTTGGCAGAAACCTGGAGAACAACTGTCCCTTGTCTCAGCTTCTCCTCTACTGTTCACTGAAGTCAAGCTGTGGCCAAACATAGCTTCCCTGCCTATGCCAGCTGCTTTACTTCTACGCGCCTTGTGCTCTGCTACTGCCCTAAAGCAGACAGTCGTATCAGGCAGCATCAGGTGCTATTCATCCTGGTGGGAAAAAATTAGCCAGAAGCCCTTTGTTCCCAGGAGGAAAGATAGATTTAAATCAGAGATGCGTAATTACACTTACTGTTTCAGATTTAGACCATGAGAAGTTGGACAGGAAATCTTCCTTGGTCAGCAGGAATTTACGATCTGTGTTCTGCTTAAGTCCTCCTGCAAAATAGGCAGGTTTCAATCAGCCAGGGTTCCACATGCAAATGATATGTCAGAGCCCAGCCATGGGCACCAGGCCAGGTGAGCAGCACAGAGTCATGCATCAAAAGCTATCAAGCAATCACAGGCTTTAGGGATTTTTTTTTTACAATTATATATATCCCTCACCTATCAAAATATAAAAATGGTCCTTCAAGGTCTATTTGAAATGCCTTAGCCATTTCCTAGAGTTTCCTTGATCTTCACCAGATTTCTTACTGTGTAAAAAGACTGAAACAATCATCAGAAGAGGATGAATCTCATACAATGATACTGGGGACCACTCTGCCCAGGAGATGTGGACCAAGTGCTGACAGGGAGCTTGAGCCTCAGTTCTCAGCTTGCTATCAGCAGGTCTCCTGTTTCCAAAGTCACCAGCAATTTGTATAGTAAGTTACTTAAGGGCATCTCCAAGGTAGAGGGGATGAAGGTCAAAGGGACATTTGATCATTTTTAAGCCATGGAAGATTAACTTATTCTTGTGGGGGAATGCGTGTGGGAAAGAAACAAGATGCAGGTGTCAGGAATTAGCTCTGATGACTGCCACATGGGACTTAAATGGGGTCTTGTGCCAGAAAAAGTAGGGAGGTAGTGTGGTTAAGTGTTTTGAGTTTAGTAAGACCATTAAGTTAGTTTTGTTGGAATTTTTTTTGTTTATTGGGCTGATGATTTCTCATCTGGCTTTACTGAGTTGTCCAGTTTTCATACTTGGCTTCATGGCCTGTGGATAAACTGACTCCCAACCTAGTAAGAAGCAAAATTTGTCTACAAGTGTCACTATAGCAATGGGCTGGGAACCTGGCTGGACATACTGGGGAAAACTGTGAGAGCTGCTGCTTTTTTGTTATTTCTGCCATGCATGAGGTGGGTGATAGGTGTGCTTTGCATCTTACCTAGATGCAAAAGCAGTGAGGCTGTGGGCTGGAACTAAAGTTACTACCTGTGGGATGCTGCTTTTTGCCCCTTGCACAAATGGTAGAGGGAAACTGAGAAAGAAGCTAATGTAGCCATGCAGAGGGTCTGCAGCTCTTAAATGTGTGAATGTGGTGAAAAGCATGCACTGTGCAGGTGCAGACAAAAAACCTTGAGTGATCTGAATTCATTTGAAGCAAACCTGCTTTTGTCCTCTAGAAGATTGGGTGTACCTCCTTGCTTGGGGTTCTTGCCATGTTCAGAGGCAACCCTTAAACCTCCAGTCCCTACTGGCATCTAATAAAATGGGAAGGAGATGTCTTATTTATTTATTTCCCTCAGGTTAAAAAACTGTTGAAACTTCTTTCTCCTTAGAAATTTGAAGTAATTTTTGCTATGAGCAGAGATCAAGAATGGGATACAGAAGGTCTGGGGTAGGAAATGAGATTTAGAGTAGTAAGCTTTACACAGTGTTTGCAATAGGGTTACCAGTACTTCCTGTGGGAATAACAGCTCTCTACTCATCTTAGTTTGCAAGCAACCTAAGATACATTCAATCACAACTCTGGAACTAGTACCTGTTAGGAGGCTGATAATTATTCCCACAGCTACTGTGATAAGTGTCCCAAGTGTGCTGAAGTAAAGATAAGACAAGGAATACCAGTTGTCTGCCAGGACAGGCCTGCAAAAGAGCAGAAAAAGGGTAAATCTGCTTTCCTATTCCAAGCAACCTGAAGATGTTTTCTAATTCCAGACAGCATATAAATACAGTTACTTCTGAACCAAGTGACCTGATAGTCTTGAGCTACCTCTGTACAATAAAATGCACACTGAAAGTTTGTTCTGAAATTTGTAGGACAAATTCCTTGGTATGGGAGGAGACAGGTCAGTACAGTGAGCCAATGCATGGGACAGAGCAGGTAAAAGAGCAGAGCCTCTCTACTAGGAATCTAGTGCAGAGCTGAGCACTCCAGCTATCCAGAAGAAAGGATAACTTCTTTAGAATGGGAGATGTTATTTAAAGGAGGGGGCACAAAAAAAAAACAAAAATAGCAGGAAATCAGCCACTGTGTAGCTCTAAACAGCCAGAAACTACAGGGCAACTGTCACCTCATGTTACACCTTATTTTGTTCTCCCTGACAATGTACTCTCTTGCAATGGCTGCTTCCCAGACATAAAGAATGCTGGAGGCCTCATGTGAGAGGTGTAGTCTATGACACTGGATATTGGTCATCCATGTGCGTACCAGGGTATCTGTTGATTGTACAATGCTCAAAGATGTAAGGATTGGTAATCCTAGAAATGTGTTTGTTCAGCTTCTCTCTGTTCCTGCTGTTACCTATATTGTCATTCATAAAAGTTACACTTAACTGTGATTGTCGAAAGTAAGATATACAGTAATTGCAGAGGGGAGCAAATCCCTTATATTTTGTCCATTACACAGATTATGTCCTCTTCTGAATTTCCTGAATAAACCTATTTTTGCACAGACAAGCTGTTGTAGGTGGAGCTGTTCAACTGGCAAATTGCCCTTTAACTGCCTACTACTTCAATTCATAAGACGGACTGTGGAAGTTAAGTCAATAACTATAAATGTTACGCTTTCTTTAACGCTATGCTTCCCAGTAAGCCATATGCAAGCCTTTAGACTCAAATATTGAACTGAAGCTTTAAAGATCAATAGGATGATTCACTTTGACTTCTGTTCTGGGATAACCCACACAAACCCTGACAGGGAAAAATATGCTTCACCTTAAGCAGCCTCACAGGTAAACCAAGGGAGGGATAGTAACCCATATGCTAGGCAGATGTTTGCATTACTTTAAAAAAAATACATGCTTTGCTGATTGCATATGATGGACTTGTATACCTCTCTGCACTTGGTGTGTTGAAGATTGTTGTTAATGGGTTTTCTGTTGCCGTCAAATTTCCTGAGGATATATTACAGCCTATAGTTGAGAGAGATAGAGGCTTGGTCCTCTCTGGAAGTGGAGGATAAATCTGAGATCCAATTCCAACCCAAAGTGAAATAACAAAGCCACTGACAAGACCCACAAATGCACCCTGCAAAACAGAAAATAAAACTTTACGTGAAAAGCAAAAGGATATTTGAAAAAGCCAGCACCTAGATGAGTAACAAACTGTAAGATAACCTAAACAGTACGAAACAAGATAATCTAAACTGTAGGCTCCTTAGCAAAAATGAAATATACAGCTGGGGAGAGCTGGGGAATTTACTTGATTCCCCTTTTGGGAGATACAGTGTTTACTCACAGCTCTCGAGCATACCTCTCTTTATTTTTCCACTATGCCTTTTCAATCAAAGGATAGCTCTGGGCTGCATGGTATATTGGAAAATACTACTTTATTTGAGCTCCTCCTTGAACAAATACAGAAGCATTTTTCTTTCTTATCATGTGGTCTGTTTTTTTTAAAGTTTCTTCTGCTTCAGGGTGAGGGGATTTGGGGCTGACAACTAGTAGGCTTTTGGGGTTTTTTTTGGTTCTTGGGGTTTTTTTTTTAGTATATACATAAAATTTGCAACTGCAGAAAGGTAAAGGTTAATGATTAGTGAACCTTACTAAACAGCAATCCTGTCAGACTAACGCAGGGACCATGTTCGCAAAGTTTGTAAAATCCATTTTTTGATGGAATAGATTTTTCCTTTGGAAATTATAATGTCATGATGCTGAGAAAACCCCAACTCAGTCGGCAAATTCTTGGGCTCCATTCTCGCAGCCTGACCTCCTTTTGCTCAAGCAGGCTAGCATCCTCAAAGTCTACTGATTGTTCAGCTACATTTTACATTGCTCCCTGCTTCTAAAACTGTGTTTTCACAAATCCTTGCCTTAGTTTCATTTTTACTCAGAATATTTTCCCCCCTCTGCTCGGGTAAAATCTCTTCATGGGATGGAAATTCAATTTCCCATACACCCTTGTCCTTGGGACAAGGAGGAAAGGGAACAAGGGGAAATGATTTAGACACATGAGGACATCCCCCTTGCTACCCAACATAAAATTATTTGGAGCAGAAGCTGGGGGAAGGCAGAAGGAGATGCCCCAAATTATCAACATTTTTGGAGGAACAGGGCTTTAAATTTCTACTTACAATTCCATTTGCAAAGGAGCAGAGGATTCCCAAGGCAAACAGTCCTAAAAGGGGGCCACCAACCATGCCAAAAATGCTGAGTGCTGCCTGAGGAAGGAAGAGAGTCTGCTATCAGGTGCTGTGTAAGAAAGTTAAAACCCCAACATGGCAAGAAGGGAGGATGTTGAGAAGGAAAGTATGTTTTTAACTGGTGTGTACTCAGCTGGCAGGATTTGGTATAGTTACATGGCTGCTTAAAGCAGAGGCTGAGCCACAGGCTGTTTGAGGTCAGTGCCCAACAGAGAATAAAAACTAACCTCATAATGGTATCCAGCAATTATTTGCTTACATAATTCATTCTGAGTGAGCCAACATGGGCATGAAAAAAAGATGACACCTACCTGCAACAAGGCTCCCAGGAGAGATGCCACTGCAGCCATAGCAATGCAGACTCCACCATAAAACAGGCCTGTGTGGAAAAGGCAGAATGATGTGTAAATCTGCCAAATTTTGAAAATCACTAAAGGAAATGTTTTCATCTAACCTAGCATGGCCCTGACATCTCCAAAATAAAACCTGCTAACATCTGTGTTTTTATTAAGAGAGCCTGAATTGGACAAAAGATCAGGTTTCTTTTTACACTGAGTTCATGCAAACTTGACACAATTCTCTTCCCATATATTACTAAAGAGTGATTACTAAATGGCAGCCATGCAGATTAGCCATAGTGGCAAAGCCACATTTACTGTTCATATTTCTCAGCTAATCTCCTGTGTCATAGTCCTTATTTTGAGGGAATAATTTCTGCTTCTAAGTCTAAAGTCTTTGGAGCAAGAAAGTAAATGCTGGCAGATTACTGGGAGCTGGCACTGTGACAAAGAACATCCTAGGTCACCAGGATGTAGCATCTGCTCCCAAGAACCATAACACTGGCTTATTTATTTTTTCCACCTCCACCCCTCTGGAGTTTTACTGCACAAGCAATAGGTTAATCTCACTGTTTAATTTGGCACATCAGGCAATTCACGATAAGACCAAGAACAACCTTGATGTAAACATTGTTTGGGATACTGCTTACAAAACTGCTCTCAGGTGAAAATATCACACTTGCAACATGCCATCAGTCTGCTGTGCTTGCTGGTATGTGTGCCACAACACCATGTTGGCACTGATTTTTCCACACACTGCAAACACTGTTTTGGGCTACACCTGCCACTGCTCACAGGGCAGTACGACTAGAGACAGCTATCGCACTTCACAAATGTAAACCACCTGCTCAGCCTAGTTCTGACCCTCTTGTTTGAGCTACATGAAATGGAGGAGCTAAACAGACTGAGAGTCTGAGAGTATATCAGAGAAGATGTGAAGTTTCTTGTTCTCTGGAATGTTATTGGGACACAATGCTCATGTATCACTCAGTTCAAAGGGTTTGTTACAAAATGTTTTCCCATGCTTCTAATTTTTGTCAGATGAAAGAAAAAGAACAGGTTTTGGGTTTGTAGTATTGCAAATCAATATTGACTTCAGATGCAGTGCATCTTTCCCACTTAAAGATCAAAATCATCAGCTTCCTTTCTCCTTATGCTCACCTCAAATAGTTTGTCCCCAACTCTGTGTAAAACCATGCAGCTGATTTCATATCCCCAAAGTATTGCAGCAGCATAGTCATATTGGTGTGAATACACTTATTCTTGACTTACTCTGATGATAGCAAGATATGAATCAAGCCCTCACTTTGTAAATCAAAAGTGGAAAGATATTTTCCAGACATACTCATCCCCATGGAAATCCACGACAGCTTCTTTTCAGAGAGTGATCTGAAGTACGGCCTAATGAGGTCTTCAACAGTCACAGCAGCCAAAGCATTGATGCTGGAGGACACTGTACTACAGAAGGCAAGATGTATACAGATTTTTATCTTAGAAGCTGAAATCCTAGATAACAGATGTATTATTACTGGCAGAGAGAAACTGCCACTGCCTAGAACAGTGTCAGAAAACTAATGTAACTGCTGTACTGGCTGAGATAATTTATTCTTCCAGGTGATGAAGCTAATAGCGTACAAAAATTGTTTAAAATAATCACTCCTAGTGAAGACAAAGCAAATCTTGATGAAAAGATGGACCTGGTGAGGTCATGAAAATACCTATTACATGTGGCTAAGCTGTAAATACTACTGGTATATGCGATACCTTAACAAATCATCTACACAGTAGGTATCTGGGTGGGTAAAATTCCTACGTGCAGGTCACTGATTACTTTGAATGCACCCTTAGAGAAGGATTCAGATAATCTGAGTAATCTAAGAATTAAGCAACTAGTCCAAACTGAACTATACCAGGCTCCCTGTGGGGTCAGAAAAAACAGTGCTCTGAAGGCACAAAGCCACTCACGTGATCTTGCTTGTGTGTGTACCTTACTCTGTCAAGCCACCGGCTTTTCTTCAGCACATGAAAACAAATATTCTGGCTGTTCCCTCTGTTTGTGTAGTTACCAGTACCCAGAACAAAATATTCTGGTGTAACATTCTTAAGTTTCCACATTTTTATCTGCTTTCTATTGTTCAGAGCTTTCCTTGAGAGAGGTCCTAAAAGATGGTCCTTGGGAAAACTGAACAAAACACTCCCCACTGTTGGATAGAAGGAAACTGATTTCTCTCCTTCAGTAAAAATATAACAGTGATTGTTATTTTCATGAGTTCATACAAGACTATTGGAGGTCCAGAAACAATTTTTTAAACAAGACTCTAAAGATCAGGTGTGAGGAAAGGGAGATGGCTTTAATGTTATGCTGGTTTGAAACTGCAAAATTAAAGGTGAGCAATAGGAAATTCCCCCAGCTGTGACTATTTTGTGTAACCACTCATTTATAATAAAGCAGAGGGGCTTTAAAAACACACAGAGGAGGATTTGTTAGTGTCATACATTCTGCGTGGCTAGCTGTTTCCTCATGTTTCTAATAGGGAACTCCAAACTGCTTTGAGTATTAGGACCTCAGAGTGCCACTGTTGGAAACTATGTTATGTTTAAGCTTCATCATGAAAGATCATAGAGTTACTTTTTTTTTTAAGAACAAAACTTAGTTAGAAAAAGAAATGAAATGCAAAAGTTTTAGTATAAATGCAACTTCAGCTCTAACAAAAAAGAAAAGAAAACAGGACAACAGGTTCCAAATTATTAAGTTACCTTAATGTCCCACTGTAGGCACTAGCCACAAAAAGCCCTGGCACTCCTGGAAAATCGTGGAGAATATCCAGCACTAGGTATGGCATTAGCTGAAAAATTCAGAACAAGAAATATTATTATCTTTTTGTCACTGTACTGTTTTTGTTACAGCATTATCGCTGGCATCCTGCCCAGCTATTCTAATTTTTAATGTCATATCTCACATATTTTTTGGGTTTCTACAGAGAAAACTCATCCTAAAACACCCACTCAGGATACAGCAGTCTATTTAGAGCACCTAGCAGACATGAGCATATAACTGTGCTGTCAGGCTCGGTTTCCAGTGAAGATGGTACAGGAAGCTAACACTAGGCAGCAGGTATTCTCTATTGTATGCCACTCTGTTGGGCTTGGATACCATAGCAGATGTTTATGTCTGCTGTTGACTTCACAAAAGGTTTTTAAATACAGTTCAATAACCTCAGGGTAAGTGAGAACAATTTCCTTATTGGAAATCATGTGTCGCTTGTTGACCTTTGCAAGATCTGAGCACTGGAAAGACAGGTGTCTTAAGATCTTCTTCCTGTGAATCATTTTTTTCACAGACAAGTTGGTCTTTTTAGTATCTTGCTTCCAGTTTCCTCCAAAAGAACTAAACTGACAGCAACAACTTAATTTCCTTTGGGTTTCCACCTCAGCTTTCCGTAGCTCGTGTTATTCTACCCTTCAAGACCAGGTGGTCCTGCTTCAGGATTGTGTTCTTCTGGCTTTACAGTGTTGTTCAGGGGGTGTTATCCAGAGCCTGTGATTATTCCTGGGCATAAAAATACCAAAAATATACTTGTACGATTTCCTTGGGCCCAGACTCTGGTCAGTCTATAGGATCCCGGAGCTCTTATTCCTCAGGTAAGTCTGCTACTCAGGGCCTGTTTAGGGAGAGGTCACCATCAGTTACAAGGTCGTTTCTCCACAGCTTGATACTATATGATTTGATTGCCCAGCTCTGTGCCGCAGGAGAGAAGGATGCACCATCACCAGCAAAGAACTACCTCCTGGTAACCTTCTTTCAGGTGCATGCTTTGGGTATGACTATATTCTGAAACTGAAAAAGCTTTCACCTCCCTTAGCACGGAGCAGTTTAGGTGAGGTGATACAAAGCAGCATGCTAAGGCCCACAGTCACTCACACAGGCACTGGTGTTCCAGCCATCCCTGGCAGCAGCCTCTTCCCCTCACTTCTCTCTGAGGTGGGGTTTTTTTGTGTGTGAAAATGTAAGTGGATTTGGATTTCACCCAAAATTTCACCATTTTGGGTGAAAATCCCAAATACCTGCAGAGGTGGGTTGAAATGAGCACTCTCCACCTCGCTGCTTTCCCCACAACCCTCCTTACCTGGCACTGAGAGGTCTGAGCTCTGGGATAGCTGAGGAAACTGAGCAGTGCTGAGGACAGGTCTGCTGCTTTCTCCAGGATATTCCCTCCAGCCATGGTATCAGTTTAGCCCCTTAGTGTTACAGTCTCGACTAATACAGGACTCAGGCATGCCATCATTCCCACCCCCGAGATTCTTGAACACACCCCCATCTGGTTATTATGGCTGCAGAGGAAGGATGCCACTCACCACCTTCCCCTGAAACATGGGGCCCTACCTGGTCAACTGCTGACACCTGCTTTGATGTCCATGGATCGCAGTCCTTGTAGATGGAGTAGAGGGCCAGGCCACACAGCACTGCGCAGGCCAGTATCGCCCAGAGGCCTACCAGGTTGATATAGAGGGACCTGCACCATCACACATGGAAACACAATATTAGAGCTCGATGTCCTGCAAGAACCTGCTGGGACCAAGTAAGCAAGTGCCCACACCAGCACAGAGGCGACTTACTGGTCATGGTGGCTGCCCACCAGAAAGGGAGTCACCACACATCTCCCAGCATCTCACCCAGTGTGAGATCACACTTTTAAATATACAAATTACACTTCTGATGTTGGTGGTACAGTCTAAGTGCCTGTCCCCTGGCAAAGCCTGCTCTGGAGATGGTGAGAGCCATATGGAAATCCCCACGTTTCATCATGTGGGTGAGGTTTATGTTGCAGGCAACTGGCAATAAGACACTCTCCTGCCCTTGTCTCACACCTTGGTAAAGACAAACCCAGATAGATTTGTAAGGTGGGGTGCCCCAGATCAAAGTGCAAGTACCTTTTAATCAGCACCAACACTCCTCTACCCCTGGAGCTGCAGGGCCACACACGTAGTGTTGAAGTTGCCCTTGTTAAACTAATCCCTCCTTTCTTTCTGAGCCAGTCTCTGTGGGAGGTTGCAACAAGGCACTGGGACCTGACATGTGGTCTGGAGCGCCTACAGCTGCCACTTCAGAAAGCAGGTCCAGTAACCCCATTGCCTTCCCACCTCCTGATGCGAGCTTCAACTTAATGCTGAGAGCAGAAAAGGGTTTTCATCAGCCATTAATGCTACCCTTGCCACACAAAACAGGCAGCCTCTACTGGCAAGTGAAAACCAAATCGTTCTCCTCACCCTGTGAGGACTTTTCCCTTCCATCTAACTTCCTGATCTTTTCAAATGTTTCTCAGCTTTTGATGACTCCTGAGTCACAAAGTTCTTCTCACCTAGGGTGGTCAGGTCAAGCAAACACACCCATGGGGAGCTTGGCCTTGAAAAACAACGTTCCTTTCCAGCAGTTGCCTCCTGGTTATCTGTGTACCATCCACAGATAGTGATTTAACTGCCTGACAGATCACATACTCTGGACCTGTGCCAACTGCTAAGACCTCCACTGGGAGGACCTTTGATTTCTGAACAAATATATCCATGCTTTAAATGCTTCAGGAGGCCTTTTGAGGCCTTAAGTTGACAAGAAGGTAAGGGCCATATGGGGCACCAGCCCTTGAACTTCTAGAGCAGGATGAATAAAGAAGTAAACTTAACTTTATAGATCTTGTTAGGAGCTGAAAGAGATGTTTTCAGAAGGACATAACGTAGACTAGCTAATTGAACTATCAGTTTTATACTACAGAACAATTATTCACAAGCACAATGTAAGCTCTTGAAAATGACCCATATAAAGAAAAGCTGATTTACACATAGTAGGGGAAACTCTGTATTTATACTTTTTAGTGGTGGTCTAAACACAGAACCAGCAGCACTTTAAATTTCTCTCTAGACTAATTTAGTGAAAATGAAGTAGTCCTCTTCTTACAGATGCTCACATATTGGTTGGACATCTTGCATCCATTTAGCTGAAGCTGTTTCTGTATTAGCATAATCTACCTATAAGGCACTCAGAATCTGATTTAGTACAAAATTTAACCAATGAGTTAAATCAATTCAACTCTTTTGAACAGATGTAATAGCAGTATTAGCCTAGATCCTTTATTAAAGAAATATTAGAAAGTCAAGAGAAACACACAGAAGCAAAAGAAATTGTCTGAATCTGGCAATTCTTGTTTTTAAACTGGATCAGTGTTTGACAGTGAAAAGAAAGTTGTTTTTTTCCACTGATTTAAATCCCAGCTCATGCTACACCCTATGACTAAACACTGGAATATAATACTTGTAGCACTATTGGATGGAGGTGTTCCCATTAATCCTGGGTGTGTAATATGGGGTGGAGTTTGGGTGAAGTAGGCACTGTGACTGCTCAAGGCTTATTTTCAGTTGTTTGTTTCAGGCTGGCTATAAGATTTTAGCACTGAAACATGCCAGAGATTGACCTTGAAAGTGTTAGCAGCCTGTATTTTTCTGAAAGTATAGCTCTCCTGTTTGAGGATGACAGCGTGTGCTCTTTCCTCCTGGTGTGTTTCTTGAATGGTGTGGAATGCTTTCCCAAAGCCTAAGAAAATTCCTATTCTTGTGCCACTGTTAAATGCATTCCCAAAACATACAAGTTGGAATCTATGAAAGAATTGTTTTGTCAGCTCAGATTTATCATTGCGCTGTCTCTTCTAAAACCTTACAGTAAATGCCATGGGGGTACAAAACACTATTACTTTGACCTGATGATATTTTACACCTCTATATACCAGTTAAATGGCAATAAGAGGTGCAAGCCATGAATGACTTGCAGATGTATCTAATTATATTTGCAAATGAACTGAATAGTTACCACAGAATAGCAGTGTTTATAATTGTGACAAGCTGCAACCATTATACAAAATGATTTCCCCATGCAGGGGAAATAACCTGCATGTGCAAGATGCCGTGAAGTCCAACCACCCACACTAGCAGGAAAGGACCCTACTGATAAGGCTATGCCACCACTAAAATTGTATGAGCTATAAATGCATCCAAACCATTCCAGAGCCGGAGAGCCTTCAGCCCTGGTCAAAGCTTCTACAACAGCTCAGAAAATCTGTCCAAAAGCTGCCATGGTGCCAGATTCCCCTTGGCCACAGTCTGTTTCTGTGACAGCCTGGAGGTGTCCCTCCTTACAAAAGGGGGTAGGGAGAGTGTAGGAAAGGAGCACAGCCCTAAGGGGAGCAGGGGCTCAGGAAGAGCAGTTGCACTGGCACACAAATCTGGCACAACGTATGCAGCATTACAGATGTGGGATGCACCTCCTGCCTCTGCATTGACAGGAACATGGAAACCAGACACATGCCAGAGATTGCGGAGAAGCCATGTGGTGTGCTGGAGATGTGGCTGGTGATGAGTATCAGCTCATTCTCATCTGAAGCCCAAGTGGTTGAAAAGTAGACTTTCTTTATTAACATAACCAAAATATTTCAGTTCTAAACGGCATGATTTTGTAGGTATTATGCTAACTTTAGGAAGTGAAAGCCTTCATAAAGTCCTTCTTTGTATGTCACTGTATTTATTACAGAACTTATAGAGACTATACTCATGATGTGAATTTATATAGTTCTCCTATAAATGGACTTTATGAGCTCGCTAATAATTCTTAAATCCTGAGTTGTGAACTACTGGAATGATACTAAAGAAAAGGTAAGATTACAGACTTAGTAAATAATACTCCACTCTAGAGTAAAAACTGATAATAATTGTCTAAAGTAAAAGCCCTCTGCTTTTTCCATAGTGAATTCCTAACAAAAAAATAAAAGGTCATGATTATTATGAAAACAAAATACATGGCTCCTCAGCAACTTTATAGCTGACTCAAACATTTCTTCATTTTCTCATGCCTACATGAGAAATCTTTTAGTCTTTACTTACACAAAATTCTCAAATAATGACTCAGGTTTAGTAGAGTAGCAATTCAAGATGCTGCCTTGATGTGGCTTCAGCACATGTATTATACTATTTGATCTTTAGGTTGCATATAAATTTAATGCAGCTATTAATATGCAGGAATACTACCACACTGAAACATTCTGGCACAAAGCTCAAGTGTTACAGCAATTATATGTAATTTAAATATCAGTATTTATTTTGCCGATTTGTCTTCTACCTGAAGACAAATCAAAAGTAAAAACAGAAAGCAAACATTCTTACCCTTTACACCCTTCTTACCCTTTATATAGACAAAAAACATTCCTTAAAAAAAAAATCTCCTTAACAAATTCAGACATTAAGAGTTACTGTAGGCAGACTTACAATTTTGCATGGAACCTGCTTTTGCACGCAATGTATCTCTGTACTTGAGACTGGTTGACTCCATATATGCCAGTCCATGTGAAAGTCCCACCTACTATAATTGTCCAGAAGGTGTGCCTTTGCAAAGGATTGGGATCAAAGCTACAATGAGAGGGAAAAAGAAAACAAATTCAGAATATGAAAATGTTCACATTATGAGAAGACATTAATGCCTAGGAAAAAAAAAAAAAATCCCTGTACTTGTTCTGATAACAACTCTCTTAATTTGTAGAGATTTTGAACATTCAGATACTCCAACTCTATGTGAAATCATGAAAAGCAAATTTTAAAACTCAGAGCTGAAATCCTGATCCAGTGAAATCTGTGCAAAGGTGAAGTTTAACTGATTTATTACCTATAAACTACAGTCTTAAGTAAAGCTGTATGATGCCTGTGACTGTTGTGGTGAAATGATGCTCCAGTAAAAAGTCTAATATGCCTGCTTATCTAAAGGGACATCAGTCTAACACCAATATAAAGGTGTATTTGCATGCCCAGCCTTTGTGGATAGAGCCTCTGTAAAACATTCTGCTGGTTTGGCTCTAAGTAAATTACAGACTTTAGATGGCTACGAATCATTATTTTTTTAAATAACACTTTAATATTGCAATAAATAATGCTTATCTTGGTGAACAGTGTAATATTATTTCACCTATTATATGCTTTTATTTCTTTTCTTTTTCTGCCTGTGACCTCTGTGACTGGGGGAAAAAGCAATACAGTATAACCACTACAAATCAACCTAACAAACAGATTGAAAAAAACTACTACTCATGAAGAGAAAAAAAAATACCCACAGGTGAATTATTTACTGAAGAACTTGGTGAAGAATTGAAGAAAAAACTTCTTAATATCACGAACTGGTAGACAAAAGGACAAATGAGCTGTTCGCAAATTGTAAGTATAAATACGATAGCCTTCTATTCACCATGCACTTTCAGTGGAATCAAAAATGTATCCTTAAAGCACCTACTTGGCAAAGTAAAAGAGTTGTCCTCTTCACAAGATTTTGCATGGTGTAAAACCTAAAAAATATCCCTCACACTAGGTGAGCTTGTTTAACAATGTATAAAAACTGGGTCACAACTTCTCCCCTCCCTCCTCCTCCTTCAGTAGCAATTTAATTTCACACTTAGTCACACGGGGTCTATTTGTAGGAATAAAGAGGCACATCATCGGCAAGTACAAACTCACTCCCAGAAGTTCAATCTTCCTCCGTAGTAGGAGTCGTTTACAATGCGTCCGATTCCCTCCTGAACCACCACAGCTCGTATAATGACAGCTGAAAATCCAGCTACCATGACTCCAACCTGGAAAACATCTGTCCACACCACTGCCTTCAGACCGCCCTGCATGAGGAACAGCACGTGTCAGGTACAACACGGCAGCAGCACTCTTCCCTTTGCACTCATATTCAACTGAGAGAAACATTACAATTTGTATTATGCATAATAGATTCATTTAATCTTCTTTAATGGAAATAATTCTATACTGGAGTGTTTAGGAATTACGGCCTATTGCAATCAGGAACCTATCCTGGCCCTTTTTTGAAGTGCACTAGAATTTACTTTGGCCATGCACATAATTTAATCTAGTATTTCCTTTATCACATAACCTGATTTGGAAGTTTTTATCAAAAGATAAATTGGCAGACAGTGCTCACCTTACATATGTACAGTACCACTAACTGCAGAAGGCATGCCATTCAAGTGAATAAAAATAAACATTATTTAATCCATCATATACAAATAAATCTGACAGTGAGGTTCCATTTAATGATTTCTAGACACTTGGTCAATTAACACTAATCTAAAGACCAATCTGTTCATGTGGCACTTGATATTTTCAGTGGCTCTATTCAGTGTCAGGATTACTACAGTTACAGTAAGCAGGTGCTTGACAAATTATACAGCTAACCCCTTCTATACTAGAAAAAAAAAAAAAAACCAGGAGGATTTGCAGGAAGGGAAATCTAATTTTCTGCTGTTTTCTGCAACAACAGAAGTTTGACTGTATCAAAACGGAAAAAGGTTGAGTTATATACTGGCTACTTTTGCCCACCCACTCCCTGGGTGAATATGGCCCTGTGGCTACATCTACACTGTGAAATGTACTCCCATGGGTAACCTCACTTTGGGCTACTTTTAAATAAATTCCGTATTTTATGTGAATAGTGAAAGGAACAGAGATTTTTCTCAGCCAAAATGCCCACGTACCAGTGTGCAATAGAAAGTGCAGACCACACCGGTTGCCACCACTGCACCCCACAAGTCGAAGCCAGTGACTAAAAAAGAGGAAAATGGCACCAGTGTGAATGAAGCACTGGGGACAAAAAATTGCAGATCAATTTTTGACCCCCAATCTGGTTGCTGGAAAAAAATAGAAATAAGTTAAATGGCAAAGTAGGAGGTAAAAATGGCAATGAAAAGAATCATAGAATCATAGAATAGTTAGGGTTGGAAAGGACCTTAAGATCAATCTAGTTCCAACCCCCCTGCCACGGGCAGGGACACCTCACATTAAACCATATCACCCAAGGCCTCGTCCAACCTGGTCTTGAACACTGCCAGGAATGGAGCATTCACAACCTCTCTGGGCAACCCATTCCAGTGCCTCACCACCCTCGCAGTAAAGAACTTCCTCCTTATATCCAATCTAAACTTCCCCTGTTTAAGTTTTAACCCGTTACCCCTTGTCCTGTCAGTACAGTCCCTAATGAAGAGTCCCTCCCCAGCATCCCCTTCAGATACTGGAAGGTTGCTATGAGGTCTCCACGCAGCCTTCTCTTCTCCAGGCTGAACAGCCCCAACTTCCTCAGCCTGTCTTCATATGGGAGGTGCTCCAGTCCCCTGATCATCCTCATGGCCCTTCTCTGGACTTGTTCCAACAGTTCCATGTCCTTTTTATGTTGAGGACACCAGAACTGCACACAATACTCCAAGTGAGGTCTCCCAAGAGCGGAGTGGAGGGGCAGGATCACTTCCTTCGACCTGCTGGTCACACTCCTTTTGATGCAGCCCAGGATACGGTTGGCTTTCTGGGCTGCAAGCACACACTGCCTGCTCATGTTCATGTTCTCACTGACCAGCACCCCCAAGTCCTTCTCTGCAGGGCTGCTCTGAATCTCTTCTCTGCCCAACCTGTAGCTGTGCCTGGGATCCATCAAATTGATGTCTCTCCAATTTAGAGACAAGGATGTTGTGTGGGACAGTGTCAAACGCTTTGCACAAGTCCAGGTAGGTGACATCAACTGCTCTACCCCTGTCCATCAGTTCTGCAGCCCCATCATAGAAGGCCACCAAATTGGTCAGGCAGGATTTCCCCTTAGTGAAGCCATGCTGGCTGTCACCAAGCACCTTGTTGTTTTTCATGTGCCTTAGCATGCCTTCCAGGAGAATCTGCTCCAAGATTTTGCCAGGCACAGAGGTGAGACTGACTGGTCTGTAATTCCCCAGGTCATCCGTTTCCCCCTTCTTGAAAATGGGGGTTATATTTCCCTTTTCCCAGTCATCGGGAACTTCACCTGACTGCCATGATTTCTCAAATATGATGGGATGCAACACTCCTGAGCTTGTAGCAGGTGATCCTTGAATATCAACCAAGAGTCTTGGGCCCCCCTGCCCTCTAGGTCTATATCCCATGGAACCTTATTAAGCAGGCTCCTGAGGAGGCCAAAATCAGCTCTTTTGAAGTCCAGGGCAGTGAGCTATTGTGTCTAAACCTGGGGATTTGCATTAACAAGTTCTAAAAATGAAACAGTTGTTACAGACATTGGAAACTGTTCCGGTAAATATATTTCAGGATCTAGGAAACTATTTGTAATGTGACAATTAATTTGTCTTCCGCTAAAAACCACATCCAACATATTTGTAGGCCCCAACACAGGAAGATTTTAAAATACGTGTCCTTCCTTGAAGCACCTTGGTGTCCTATAGAGTCCTTAGGCAGAGATTTAAGCAAGCAAAAAGCATGGGGATACTCCATGGAGGTAAGGTGGTTCAAGCATGGTCTGGAATAAGTGTTTCAGACTAAAAGCCTTTCTTTTATTCTTCTTTCTTTTTGGGAAATATGATAGTATGTCTACACCAGACAACACTGCTGTGGCTGGCATGCAGGCCATCACTGCCCCAGCTTGCCATGCTCACATGCTGCCAGGCAGGGTGCTTGGGGGCTCCCCAACAGATAGCTCAGAGTATTGAGAAACACTACAACAGAACTAATGAAAAACATTGCTTCTAGTTGGGAGCCAGCTTGGTCATAGCTTGGTGCAGTTTGTATTTGCAGGGCAAATATAAACATTAAGGACATAAAACCTGTAGGACTCACACACAGAGGAGACCAATGCAGACAGCATCTTTTTTCTTCCTTTTTGTTCAATGAACAAACAAAAAAATCCAAACCAAGCAACAAAACCGATGAACAGAACAATTACGATTTTCATTCTAGCCAAAATGATTCATTTCTATTTGCATTTTGTTACTGTCTTTCCTTGCCAAGTGGACAAAATAATTCTGTCAGATTAAAAGTTTCATTTGTCTTTACATAAAAGCTTTTATCCTGCCTCTAAAAATAAATGCGGCTCATTTTCAAACAGAGTCATTTTGAAGTATAAAATGCAAACATTTCATTTTGTAAATATCACAACAAACATCTGAAACTGAAGATTTTTTGCTGTTAATTTTGTTTTCCTGGGGAAAAAAAAAAAAGGCTGAATTAAACAGCCTAAAGCCATATTTACAAAACTGTTGCCTCGCTCTCCTCTTGAAGTAGAGCACTTAACCAAAGGAACTAAATGTGTGTTTAGTCTCTGCATTGCCTTCAAAATTTACGTAAGACTTCTTAACTTGTCAGAATGTTGCCATTACCTAAGAATATTGCGTGAGAGGTAGAGTAATTGAGAGCAGGGTTTCCCTTCGAGCCTGTCCTGGGTTCCAGTGACTGCTACTGCTGAACCCAGGACAGAGCCTCTTCTGTAATTCTTTACAGGTAGGGATTAAGGGACTAGGATTACAAATGAGAAGCCTTCTATCTGAGCTCCCTTCAGGATCAACAGAAATCTTAAGAGATTTCATAGCTAAGCCTTGAGCAATATTTTTAGGTGTGTGTTACCAAAAAAAAGCATACCAGTACTCTATGCAGAAAAAAATATAACAGTAGAACTGTTGCAGTATGCTCATCTTACCTTGATTCAGTGCTAACGCTGGAGCATAAATGACAATACCAGTGTATAGAGTCTGAAAGGGGAAAAAAGATGAAAGATCAAAATAAATGTAAATTCATTGAAAGTTGATCACTTTCTGGGATGATTTCTTTTCAAGCATTTATGCAGTCTAATCTTCCTAAACTCATAACTGTTGAGAAATAATTCCAATTGTTAGAAGTTGAATACCTGCGACAAACCAGCACTGCACTCTCACAGCCTTGTGCGCTTAAAATAAATATCAGGGACTCTTAAATACCAAATCCCTCTTCAGCTTCTCCTAGCTTTTATAATTAACTTATCTTACTGCAGAAACAAGAGCAAAAGGAAGTTGATGGGGTTTACACACTGCTTGCAAAAGAATCTATTACAATTTATTTTTTCAGTCTTGGAATCCGTATGCCTCTCAGTATGCAACTATAATGCATGTGAGTAAAAACAAAGAATACAGCACCAGTTAGTCATCACAAGATGAAGCCATGCATACTTATTCTACTTTACCAGTAGAATAGCAAGTAGAATTGCAACCCTGGACTTTAGCAGGGCAAACTTTGGCCTTTTCAAGCAATTGCTAGGGGAAATCCCATGGGCAAGGCTGCTTGAAGGTAAAGGGGCCCAAGATAGTTGGCTGGCATTCAAGGATTGCTTTTTCCGAGCTCAAGATCAGAGCATCCCGACACGTAGGAAGTCAAGGAAGAGGGCCAGGAGACCTGGATGCTCAAGTGGAAGAGGAGAGTTTACAGGTCATGGAAGGAGGGGCTGGCCACTTGGGAGGAATAAAAGCCTGCTGCTAGAGGATGTAGGAAGGCAGCTAGGATGACTAAGGCCTCCTTAGAATTAAATCTGGTGAGAGGGGTCAAGGACAGCAGAAAGAGCTTTTTCAAATACATGGCAGATAAAACTAACACCAGAGGCAATGTAGGCCCACTGATGAACGGGATGGGTGCCCTGGTGACAGAAGATACAGAGATGGCAGAGTTACTGAATGCCTTCTTTGTCTCTGTCTACTCTGCCGAAGGCAGTCCTGAAGAGCCCTGTACCCCTGAGACCTTAGATGAAGCCAGATCAACGGAGCGGTTTGCCTTAGTCGTTGAGGAATGGGTTAGAGACCAGTTGAGCAATCTGGACATCCATAAATCCATGGGTCCAGATGGGATGAACACGCGGGTGCTGAGGGAACTGGCGGAAGTAATTGCTAGACCACTCTTCATCATCTTTACCAAGTCTTGGGAAACGGGAGAGGTGCCTGAGGACTGGAGGAAAGCAAATGTCACTCCAGTCTTCAAAAAGGGCAAGAAGGAGGACCCGGGTAACTATAGACCAGTGAGCCTCACCTCCATCCCTGGGAAAGTGATGGAACACCTTATCCTTGGTGCCACACTTAAGGCATATCCAGGATAAGAGGGTTATGAGGGGCAGTCAACATGGCTTCACCAAGGGGAAGTCATGCTTGACCAATCTCTTAGCCTTTTATGAGGAAATAACACGGTGGATGGATGATGGCAGAGCGGTGGATGTGGTCTACCTTGACTTCAGCAAAGCATTTGACAGAGTCTCTCACAGCATCCTCACAGCTAAATTGAGGAAGTGTGGTCTGGATGATCAGGTAGTGAGGTGGACTGTGGCTGAAGGAGAGAAGCCAGAGATTTGTAGTCTATGGGGCTGAGTCTAGCTGGAGGTCTAGTGGAGTGCCTCAAGGGTCAGTAGTGGGACCAGTATTATTTAATATATTCATCAACGATTTAGATGAGGGAATTGAGTGTACTATCAGCAAGTTTGCTGATGACACTAAGCTGGGAGGAGTGGCTGACATGCCAGAAGGCTGTGCTGCCATCCAGCGAGACCTGGACAGGCTGGAGAGTCGGGCAGGGAATAACTTGATGAACTATAACAAGGGAAAGTGTAGAGTCCTGCATCTGGGCAGGAATAACCCCAGGTTCCAGTATAGGTTGGGGAACGACCTGTTAGAGAGCAGTGTAGGGGAGAGGGACCTGGGGGTCCTAGTGGACGACAGGATGACCATGAGCCAACACTGTGCCCTTGTGGCCAAGAAGGCCAAAGGCATCCTGGGGTGTATTAGAAGGGGGGTGGTTAGTAGGTCGAGAGAGGTCCTCCTTCCCCTCTACTCTGCCCTGGTGAGACCGCATCTGGAGTATTGTGTCCAGTTCTGGGCCCCTCAGTTCAAGAAGGACAGGGACCTCCTGGAGAGAGTCCAGCACAGGGCAACTAAGATGATTAAGGGAGTGGAGCATCTCCCTTATGAGGAAAGACTGAGGGAGCTGGGTCTCTATAGTTTGGAGGAGACTGAGGGGTGACCTTATTAGTGTATATAAATATATAAAGGGGGAGTGTCACGAGGATGGAGCCAGGCTCTACTCAGTGGCAAACAATGATAGGACAAGAGGTAATGGGTACAAACTGGAACACAAGAGGTTCCACTTAAACTTGAGAAAAAACTTTTTCTCAGTGAGGGTGACAGAACACTGGAACAGGCTGCCCAGGGAGGTTGTGGAGCCTCCTTCCCTGGAGACATTCAAAACCCGCCTGGACACATTCACACATTCCTGTGTAACCTTATCTAGGTGTTCCTGCTCTGGCAGGGGGATTGGTCTAGATGATCTTTTGAGGTCCCTTCCAATCTCTAGCATATTGTGATACTGTGATACTTATCAGATTTGTATTTTCACCCAGTACTGTAAAGATATAGGCAAATCAAGGAGCTACTCCATTCACTTTTTTTGGGCACAGTGCAATTTATACACTGATATCCTCTGTAATTTCTTTTTGTATATTTTTTAATCCTGTTTGATTTTTTTACCGCTGTTATTACTTCATTTTACTACTAGAACAAGTTCAGCTGTGGCACAGTACAGGGGAATACAGCTTGCAATATGCAGATGACTTCTGTGAAGGTCAGTGACTGATTCAAAGGGTCACAGCCAGGTCCTAAGGAGACTTACATCATCTTTTCACTGCTCAATTCTTCAGACTCCCTGATTTACAGGGGCGGGACTTGGGTATAGAAAAGCAGCAGAATTAGATGTGATGTATCCAGCATTCAGCAAGCCTTTTCCCTTCCCACAAGTGTGAAGTCTGCCCTAGGCAGAGGTGGCAAAACAGGGTAGAATGGCTAACTACTGATTACTCACTGTAGCTTTTGAGCAGGTCAAATCCAGTCCCCATGGCAAAGCTCTGCCACATGGCCAGAGGCTACTCTGGGCAGAGAGTCCAGAAGTAACTGGAATGAGCAGTAATCCAACTGTGGGAGGAAATTAGTGTGGAGGGTCTGCTTCACTCAGCATGGCTAGATTGCCCTGGCCCCTTGCTGCATGCCTGCTACAAGCACATCCCAGAAAGTATGGTGAGGCCATTGGACAAATAGTTATTCCTACCTGTATACTATTCCCTACCTGTGTACACACTCATGTTTGTTTCAGTGCCAGGAGCCAGCTCTAGGTTTTCATGTAGAGCTTGTATGCCAAGAAAGCTGCCAGTCCTGAGGAGTCCCTGGCAAATATCGCTTCAGAACTAGCTGCATCACATCACAGCCAACTACTGACTCTTTTCAAGCCCAGTCAGTGTTTTGACTTTCTATCCATACAGTGACTATCAGTGTGTGCTGATGAATCACAGAATGGTTTGGGTGTGAAGGTTCCTTTAAAGATCATCTAGTCCAACCCTCCTACTGCAGGCAGGGACACCTTCCACTACAACAGGTTGCTCAAAGCCCTGTCCAATCTGACTTAGAACACGTCCAAGGATAGGGCATCACAGCTTTTCTGGGCAACCTGGTCCTTCTCTGCAGGGCTGCTCTCAACCAGATCATCCCCCAGTCTGTACTGATATTGGGGATTGCCCTGGCCCAGATGAAGGACCATACACTTGGCCTTGTTGAACTTCATGAGGTTCATGTAGGACCACTTCTCAAATCTGTAAAAGTACCTCTGGATGACATCCCTTCTCTCTGGTGAATCAGATGCATCACTAAGCTTAATTTCATCCACAGACTTGCTGAGCACTCAAGCACTCAAACTCAAGCACACTGTATATATCATTGATTCAGGTATTAAATAGTACTGGTCCCAGTACAGACCCTTGAAAAACACCAGTAATTACTGGTTTCCATTAGGACATTTGGTTGTTGACTGCAACTCTTTGGATGCAACCATCTAGCCAATTCCTTATCCATCTAATAGTCTGTCAGACAAACACTTATCTCTCCAAGCCTGCTAATTCATGGATTTGGCATGAGAAAGTGGCTTTCTCTTATACAGGAAATAAGTGTCAGAAGCTTTGGACTATCAGAAACTGGGCTGATAATACAATCTTTCCACTTCAGTAGTTTTTCAGGTTGTATTGCTATGTATCCTTCTTATTTCTTCTTTTAAATACATGACAATATTCACAGAACAGTTAAAATTACACCATTAACATCTTGGGGAGGTTCTTTCCTCTCTATTCATTATTCAGGTGAAGTTGTTAGTGCTTGGCACAGAAAGACATTTAATAGATCTTTAGTTAATTTCCTTGAGCATATATTTTAGTTGTATAGAATTATTTTTCTGATCTTTGCAAGGAAAGATTATGCTTGGTTGTTCCAATTTACACAACTGTGATATCTTCATATTGCAAGTGAAACAGTGTCAGGATTCACACACGATAGCGCTTCACTTTTCCTGTGGGCTTATGTATCTATAAATGCCAGCTAAGCAGCACTGTTCAAATAAGTAATTAGCCCTGCACCAACCACCATCTTATTGGTGCAAGTTGGATTGCCCTGTAACCCCTTGTGTGTCTTAAAAATACACAAATGGGCAAAAAGCAAGCATGTTACTTGAAAAGCTTTCTGATTGTATATTCATTCTTGCATTGAATTCTTCAAAAAGTCCACTTCAAAACTGTGAAAAGAAGACATTTCTGGGTTTGCTGCATTTGGCACATGCTCACTGCACATTTACAAGCTGTGGTCTCACACCGACTTCCTGAATGGGTTGGATACAGCAAACTGCACTAACAATAATTTCAGGAACTACTTTAGTTTAGCATTCCCCAAGGCAGTAATTTGCTACTTCTCAGTCTGAAGAAACAGTTTTTTTTCCAATTGTGGTGGTACAAACGCTTGTGCAATAAATGGCTGCTCCTGACAGATTATTTTCTTACCTTTCACAGACTCCTGAGAATTACTCAGACTCCCAGAATCCATGCACCAGAGGATGAAAACTGCCCCTGTAGGTAACCGGGCATGTTTACATTTTGAACCCACTGTGGGTTTCTCCAGCAGGCAGGCAAAAGGCTGCTCTCCACCCTGCTACCCTGCAGTGAAGGGTTGCTCATCTCTTGGCACAGCACTGATGCCAAGTGACTGCTCTGGGTGCTCAGCAATGCACACAGAGACCCAATGGGCAGGTAGCCCAGCATCTGCTCCCTACCTCATTGCTCTGGAGCAGAAAGAGTTTTGTTTCTCTCACTCACAGCCATCCATGAACTGTGATAACCTCAACAACCACTCAGAGAAAATAGCCAGTTACACTCAGCTGAAGAATCCTGGTGGCTACAATGACCACAGACAGTTTGAGATTTACTTGCCGTTTGTATAATGAAGAGGACCGTTCCACAGAGGCGCAGGTATTTATTAAATCGAAGCTCTAAATACTGCAAAAGACAAGAAAAACCATGTTTATGTCAGAACTTCCCACTATTGGTAGGATTAGAGTGAAGCAATGAGCAATTCAGAAAGGGCATAGTGTTGTTTTTACATTTTCATGAATGGCCAAAACTCCTACAGTCACCTGCATTGGTATCTCTTTCAACTTGATTTGCTATTTCTTAACAGACCTCACCACTGGGTAATAACACATGAGCAAGTGAAGTAGACATAAGCTAGTCAGTATATGCTGGAGTCTGCAAAATGGAAACTGGTGCTACACAGCTGCCTCAAGGCACTTGGTAGACAAGGACCTTGACCTGTGACCTGGCAAAAGACCTGCATGTAATTATCACAGAATCATTGAATATCCTGACTGGAAGAGACCTGTGGGGATCATTGAGTCCAACTGTTGACTTCACACAGCGTAACCTAAAATTTCACAATGATGTACCAGCAATCAACAGAACCCACATGCATTGTGAAATCAGAGAGAAAAAGAAAACATGACGGCTATTCCTAAGCCTTAATTGATTTGGAAACTCTGGTATTCTGTGCATCCATCTGAACTGCTGTGAGAGAGGGCAGAAAGTTTTCAATGGTCAGCAGTTTCCTCTCATGGTAAACTCACCTTCTGCACTGCCCAAAGCAGCTCACCATATTCTACTGGTAAGTGGAAATCTAGCCTTCCGCGCAACAGGAACCCTCCCTCACTTTTGTATCTAGCCTGAGACAGCACAACCTCTAAATGAGTTTGTCATGCTAGTGGGCAGATTTCTTCCCATCATCTGTCCTAACAACCCTCTAGGCTGTGTGATTGTACCAAGGGGATCTCCTTTTCCTGACAATCTGTTCAATCGACACAGTATCTCAAAGTGCTCAGTCATGAATTAAGCATTTAAAACATGGTCTGTGAGCACTTCCATGTAAACACAAGGAGTGCTGAACCCCTGGACAGACACAAAAAGTTGTTTAATCTCTGAACTCTGTCCACAAATAGATACATCTTTTATAGGTGTATTACTCTGATTTGACCCCAAGATTATCACTGAGTTTCAAGTCATAATTAGAAGTCTATTTGAAAAAGTCCTATTTTAACTGACAGTCCAAAGATCAGTAGTTTAAAACACACTGGAAGCCACCAGAGATTTCTGTTGGTGAATTCTTATCTAAATCTACCAACAGAAACCTTGTTTTCAGCTTCCAATGCTGCAATGCCCCTGTTCAGTGCAATAAAATGCTAAAGACCAAAGTAGCTAGCCAGGGACTTTCACCTGCACTGATGTCCCCTTCCCAGTGTTCTCTGTGAAAAGAGCAAATTTTCTCCAAATCTGCAGCTAGGAACTAGCTCCGTGCAGGAAGATAAACAGGCTGCACAGACCTTCTAAATCAGAAGAAAGTCCTGACCAAATGCTTCCTCACCCCAAAACAGTCAGTCTTGGCCTGTGATTATCCCACCACCCCAGATGTCTCTGCACTGGAGCTATAGCTTTAACTTACATGCTAAGTTGAAGACCAGCTCAGTCATATTTTGATAGGAAGTAAGAAAACTCTCACACAGAGCACTTGCTGACCTCCCTTTATAGGCATGATAGAGAAGACATTCACCAGTGTGAACACCCTCAGGTGGAAAGTGTCTCCTCAAAAGTTTTAGGAACAGCAAAAACATATACTCTGTCAGAGGGGAACTTTTGAGGCTGCACCTTAGTTTAGAAACCTATCTGAGAGAGCGTGATGTGAGAACTCTGGTTCCTATGTCAGATGATTTTGCATTCTGCTCTTGGTATATTAATTACACATCATTAACCACATGTTATCATCCAAGTTGCACGAGGATTAATCCATCTGCTGAGCTGAGTGAGGAAACAAACTTGGCATGGTGCGCAGGTCCTGAGCCAAGACAGCAGGGTTGAGCATCTCCTCTGTGGAGGCAGTGTGGGAAGACCTGGGGACACAGCAGGTTGCAACCTGCTCTTGGGAGCGTGGAGATAAGGGGCAGCACAGCGTACAGGGTGATTTGGGGAAGAGACTGCAGACACATCTAGAAAGCAGTCATGAGAAGCCCCCCGGCTCCCTGAAAGCTGTGGAAAGGCTTCTTCAACTCCACCTTACCTCGTAGGTGCTGGTAATACCCAGCTTGTAGAAGACAGGCAGGAAGATCTCCGCACTGCACAGCACCACCAGTGCGTAGGTGATGGCAAAGATGCAGAAGATGGCACCGTAGCGGTAGATCTCGGCGGGGGTGCCCAGCACGGTGACAGCTGACATGAAGCTGGCTGTGAGGGAGAGTGCAACAGGGAGGGCGCTCATACTGCGGCCTCCCATGAGGAAGTCCTTAGATGTCTTCTGCCCCCCTCCCACGAATGCGTAGTAGACCCCGATGACAGCCGAGACCAGCAGCATGGCCGCAAAGATCACGTAGTCCCAGACGGTGAAGCCCCGCATGCTACCGGAGGGATTGGCCCTTGGAGCCAAGGAGCTGCCCTAAAATCAGAGGGGCAGCTGCTGCCCCCTCAGGGCCTGCACGGGGCGGCCGGCGCAGGAGTAATGGGATGGGGACGGGACCCCACGGGGACAGCTGAGAGCGGAGCAGCGCTCGCCGCCGAGGCAGGTGAGGAGCGGTGCGGTGCTTCCCGCCGGGGCAGGTGCGGAGCGGTGCGGTGCTCCCGCCGGGGCAGGTACGTAGCAGTTGCGGTGCACCCAGCCGGGACGGGTACGGAACAGTGCGGTGCGATGCACCCAGCCGGGACAGGTGCACAGCGGAGCGGTGCTCCCCGCCGGGGCAGGTGTCTCCGGGCGGCAGTGCGAGTGCCGGAGCCGGGACGGCGGGCGGGCCTTTTACCATGTCGGTGTCCGCTCCTCCCCGGCGGTGAGCGCCTCCGCGGAGCGGGAAGGGGCGGCTATCCTCGCGGCGCGGGCGGGTCCGGGCCATCCCTGGCTATTGCTGAGAGCCCCGTGCCTTGCGGCCCCGGCCTGACAGGGCGGTCTCACTGCAGAGGCTCGGCTGAACAGAGTTGCCATGAAAACTTGGGTGGCATTCCAGAGATTCTGGAGGGAAGGCAATTCACCCAACAATTTACCAGGTTGGTATTTCCTACCCTTCTTCACTAGCATGTGCCACCATCTCCCCAAAATATGAAGGTGAAAATATGGTTTAAGATATACATGTCTGTGGGTTGAGCAATCTGGAAGATAACTCGATGAATCAGATAACACAGCAGATTTGCCAAGTTGAGTTGCTGAACCCTGCACTTATATGACAGAGAAGCCCCACACTGTGCTCATGGAAATTTTGTCAACTAATCAGAGGTTCAAGAGTCAAAGTGCACAGTAGTATCACAGATGGAGCTTCACATATCTTATCCGCAGGGGAATGTGCATATGGGAAACCTATGGGATTTCAAGGCCATGGGTGTCAAGCAGTGGAGATGTGCCTGTTTCTATAGCTAGCAGCACATACAGAACTAACATAGCAAATACTACCTCTGGCCACTTTGCTGTAGGTTAGCAACCCCAGATGGGGGATTAAGATGTAAGGATGACAAAGCTGCATAATTGGGCCTAACAGCAGCACAGCTGCACACAGCACACCTTACAGCAGGGCTCAATGGTGAGCACATAAAAGCACAGTGGCAGTGTTATGCTGGAGGTGACCTCCTAATATAAATCATCACCATCTTGAGGATTAAAAATTTCCCAGTTTTCCTTCATGGCAGGTAGATAAGATTATCTCCTGCCCAGCATCACCTGGCGGTCATCCACAGGCAGAGTTGCTGGAAGCAGTCTTTGCTGTAAGTGCTCAGGGTTCAGCACAAGGCACTCTGACCTGCATCCATCTGACCAATTTGAGACATGGCTTCCAGCAGCCTTCTGTATGCTAAACAGAAATAACTGACCAGACACCTGACAGCCAAACCCAGCTCACAGAGCACTTTTATCTCCCTGGGAGCTCTCGATCTGGCAGACCATTTGGATGTATTTCTGAAGACATGTTGGAAGGAGGGGGTGCAGGTGGAACTCTGGTCTGACAGGGTTACTAAGGAGCTGTGGAGTCATACCTGTATTGATCTGGCCTCTAGATACCCATCTCAGAGTACAAATGTCCCTGAACATACAGAGGCTGGCATTTGTGTTGCGAGTAGCATGTCCTAATCTCACCACAGTAGGATAGTGTGTCTGTCTCTCTGGCCCAATTACTCTTTAATTAGTTATACAATAAGTAAGAGCTTCCAAATGTCCTGCTGAGGAAGCGTAAGAAAGAAACTTATTCCAGACCCCTACCAATTACGCTATTGAGCTATTGATTTTCTGAGGTGATTGGTTTTTTATTGAGCTATTGATTTTCAATTTGCTATTGACTTTTGACCACTTGAAAGCTGGGAAACCCTCACACAAAGCTTCAGTCAAAGTCAGCACCTTCCCACACAGTGCAATGAACTGATGTTGTCCAGCAAAAATATGTGTTGTCAAAAATCCTCGCCCACTTTCTCACAGGACAGACATAAGCAGCCTCCTGCCCAGACCTACAGTTTGCACTGCTCAGAGCTCCATACTCAGTGCCACTTGTTTGCTTTCTTTCAACATACTATGTTGCTCAACCCACTCAAACAATAACATGCATATGAAGTATTAACTACATAGGATTAAAACAGTTTTGATTATGCTGCTTCATCATTTTTGACATAATGTAAACACAGCAAGTGATAACATGTATTGGAAAACAAATCACGTTTCTTAACTGAAATACAAGTAGCTATGAGGAAATACATGTCCCTGGTCTCAGATGGCATCTTTGATTCTTTCTACAGAGGTGTTTAGCAAATTGTCTATCAAATGTCATCCTGACTGACAGAGCAAGAAAGGCTGGATCCTCCCATTCAGATGTTTCCATCTTAGGAACCAGCTGTTAATCTGTATGATGCCCATGTCCTAAATCACAGTAAGTGGAAATGGAGAACAAGGCTAAAGGTTTTTCTTCTGGATTTTTCACACATTATATCAAATTAGCTCCATAGAACACTCGTCTTGTGCTGTTTAACAAAGAACTGCAGGTGTTTGCTTTTTCTCATTGCTGCAATAGATATTAAAATGTCCTCCAAACTGAGAAAGCATATTTAATTGTTTTCTTGTAGCATCTTGTCCCATCTCCATCAGGTCTTGTGTGGTCCCTTATCTCACAGACTCTGGGACTCTGTTTTTGTGAGATCCACTGGCATCAGTAGGATTTGGTGTTTAATAGCAGGAAGTGTAAGCATCACATCTTTGCAGCACCCTCAAGTTAAATAAGACAAGTATCTGCTTAAACAAATCCCAGACTGCCCTAGGGGTCCAAGTGGTTCCTTTCTTGGGCCTAATACCTTGTGCTGGTATTAGGCCCACTTCCATTTTCATTCATGCCTCACTCTGTGAGATGTCACTGGAAGTGTCTGTATTGCTTGGAAAGACAGTCCCTTCCTGCTCCTTTTCATGTGGATGGGCCACAGTACTAGAAGATTGATGGGATCGTTTTCTTTCTGTAGATGAGACAAATACATCAACCCCTGCTCTTGGAGAGATGCTGCCCACCTCTCTGAACTAAATTGTGGAAATACACTTTGAGGGGTTCTCCTGCTTGTAGACAAATGTTGGGATGGGCAAAAGCAACTGGAAGTTGGAGGAAGAGGTAGGAAAACTCTGAAGGCCCAGTCAATTCTGTTCAGCATTGATGCAAGTCCCTTTGCAATTTGCCCTGGCAGCCTGGGAATTCCAGTGATTCCTTGTTTGAGTGTGCAGTTTCAGACTGTGTGGGCTTCAACTGTACCTACGCCAGCTGAGCTGCGTTTGCAGATGAAGAGCAGTTCATGCTTAATGGCACTCCTGTGCCATTAAGATCCAGGAATGGGCTCAGAATTCTGAGCTCTGTTCTGCTTACACAGGAATCACTTTGGAAACCTTATCAGAGAATGCCTGGCCATTGGTAAAACGAGACAAATAAATTAAAATACATTTCAAACCAAAAACTGAAAAAAATAATGTTTGGCCTTTTTGTGCTCAGTTTGGCCTTTTCCAGGAATGATGTGAAAATTTGTCATTTTGGAAAACTCTGTTTATTTTTGTTTGGATGGTTTGCTTAGGAAATCAAGGGCATGAGATCACACTCTGTGTGTATACATATATGTATGTATGTGGAAGATGTCTGCCCTCTATCCAACACCAATTGAACACTGTGACAAAGCTTACAGAGCGGTAGAGGCCTCAGAGATATTAAGATTCTACCAACTTCATGAAAGTAGATGGGAAAGAAATAGGGATCTCGTAAACATTCTTGTTGAAAGGAAGACTGTATCAAGAGCTGAACCTCTATAACAGTGAAACCATACGGGAGAAAGACCTGAAAAACACTCAGCTGCAGGCAAAGCTTCTTATCTTCTTAAATACACAAGCCAGCCAACACTAAGACACAGAGCTATGGGGTTCCAGGTTCCATTTACTCCTCTGTACATAGAGTTACAGGTTCAATTTCTTCTTGGTCATTGTTATGAGGAATAATAGATCAAAATAAATCTTGACTCTTAACTAGACCATTTGATTTTTCTCCCAGTGCAATGCTTCAAGTAAAAATGTGGGGTTTTTTACTTCTGGAAAATTCTGATTCCAGCAAAATTAATAAAACTGCAACTGCTTCCTGCACAGCAGCGCTTATCACCTTAAAAAGCCTGCTTGGATTTTGATGTAATGGAAGTTCATTGCTCATGGTGTTTTATATTTTTGAAGATGAGTTAATGTTTGGCTCCACACTAATCAATCCTGCCTGCTGTGCTTGTCCATACACTGTTGTTTTGAATTGCTGAACTTAGTATAGCTAGCTACCTGACTGCCATCATCACTGACTTTGCTTCTGGTTTAATGCTGCCTTAGAGAAACCTCCACAGTGTTATTTATTGATGTTCTTAGCTGTCTATTTAATCTTTTGTTTTTGTCAGTTCTTCTTCTGTTAACAGTGTTTGGACATGGCAGAATGACCCTACAAGCATATTCAGAAGAGCAGTATCATTATCAATATTCGTTGTGAAATTTGGATCAGTTCTTTAGAAATAGTCACATGACACCTGCATTTTGAGCACTGGGATGTTCTTGTACAGAGATGTCCTGCAATTGTCACCTCTTTATTTCCAAAAATATCACTAGAGTACATTTCCTAGCATACTTTTAGAAACTTCTTTCCAGCTAGTTGGATTTGCAGTGCCCAAAGCACAAAACCATATATTTAGAACCCCCTCTTGCTCAGACTGCATTGTCTGTGGGCAATAGCAAGAATGTGATGCAGTTCCCAAGTGTCTTATGCCTTAAAACACCACCATAAACTTAACAGGTTAAATACTTCAAGAAGCATAGTTCCCTAATTCTATGTCTGTAGCATTTCCAATCTTCATCCTATCCAAATCCTAAATTTTAAGGGACATAGGTTTGCCAAAGGTCTTTGCTTGAGACCCTAATCAAGGGAAGTCTTTCAGGGTAGCATCTTGTTTGCTTGAAGTGCTTGTCCTCTCATGCTTAGCTTGTCTGGGACACGAAGAGAGATGGAGTTACTTACGAAGGAAGAGATCAATATGGGGGGAAAGAGCCAGAGAGATGAGCAAAAGTCCCAGAAATACATCATGTTTATACTGACATTTTTAATTAAATCTTCTCGGTTGTTTGTTTTTTTCTGGTTTTGCATTCCACAGAAATCTGAATGAATGCAATTTGCAAGCAAAATAATTTAAATGTGAGTGCTTCATGGTCTTGAGAAGGAAACTTCAGATTGTGT